AATCTTTACTTTAAAATTATTATCAAACAAAGTTAAACAGTAACATTGGGGGGATTTTACAATCTTTCTCCTCGTTAAACTAAACCCTCATCAAGATGTAAAATGGTTATTTTATTTCAGTCGTGCTAGGTTCTGCCATTGTATGGCTTTTTATATATTTATATATATAAGTTTAGGTACTGCTTACTACAGGCACAACCCATAGGTCTCTGTCTACTACCTAATATGACTTAGAAGGCCTATTAATCTATAGGCTATAGGTCTACCGTGCAGTCGAACCTGCTTCAACAGACACCTGTCCAAGACTGCCATCAATGGGCATCACTCCCCCCCCCCCACTCCATTTTAAAAAGATTTCATAACATTTGACACTGTGCAGGATGTCCACCCATCTAAAACAACCATTTTTCTCTTCGACTATAAGTCAACAAATGGTTATCTTGGACAATTTCGACTGTAGGCCTATTCATAACATTACTTCCAATGCATTTTTACACATTTGAAACCGTAAAAGACTCCATTTCAGTAAAACCCTCAACAACCAACTCACTGCAAGTCTCAAAAATAGTAATTAGTGTGTTAGTCATTGTAACTTAAAATAAGTTTTAAGGCAAACATAATTTTGAGCTGCTCCGCTATCCCACACAGTGTGGTCAGAAAGGTAGGGGTGGGGGTTGGTTACAAAAACTATACTCTGGCCCAACCAAAGCCAGATAAAGCTCTACTCTTTAATAGGCTAGAGCCACTAGAGGACTAAATCTATCCAGATAGATTTACACTAGACTAATATGGGCGCCCATTACGGCGGGGTCGGGCCGATCGCCCAACGCGATGGCTTGAAACTGAAAACAAAAACGTTTGTTTTTTAGGTGACCAAGTCGGGCGATCAGCCCGATCCCATCCGTAGCGGGCACCCTGTATACAGCACAGTTTATTATTATAGACAACAGCCATCGCCTTACAGTTAATTGTATCGTCAATCATTCCGTTACAATTTTGTACAGAGTTATTTCGGAAGGACTTCCACAAGCAACCACCCCAACAAACACAATAAGTAAAGAAAAGACCTTTAACCCTAACCCAAACTCTAACCCTACCCCTACTAGATTCTAGATCTAGAATCTAGATATCTAGCCCTTTATCCTTGATGATCTCTAAGCTAGTCTGGCCTCTAACCTGTTCTACTGAAGTCTTGTCTGATAGCCTATGACAATCATGATCATAGCGGTCGCTCGTTACAGAAGTCCTTCCGTCATTTCAGGCCAGGCACTTCAGTATGGCCTATCTATTCTAAACAACAAAAATCTAGATCTAGATTAGTCAAAATAATATTTTTACCCGCAACACAAGGGTAGATCTAGATCTAGATCTAGATCTAGATCTAGATTCTAGATCTAAGTGTGAAGTCGTGAGCAAGGCAGTCATAGCAGAGTACACAGAATAGAGTGATGTGCTATCATCGAGATGTGTACTTACTCGAAGGCGAAGAAAAGACCACTGGTAATGATGATCAGCGCACACGTCAGATAGAATACTCCTGCTTGTCTGGCCATCATTATTCTTCCATTACAATAAAACTTGTTTTTTCCGGGAAATACTTCCCACCTCCGCACTGACTTGGCCATTTTTATCTGAACCTCTTGATTATCGTTCCCGTCACCGGTGACTTGCGAAACCGTCGTTGACACAACTGTGTAATAAGGAGAAGTGTCTCTCATCAGTGAATGTGTTCAAGAAGAAGAAATGAGTCAATATAGGAACTACACTACCAAGGAACATATCCCCGAGAAAAACCACCATCTACGTGTTATCCTGTTGGAACATCATGGCGAATAAAACAATCTGGACGTTCTAATCAGTATGAAAATTCACTGTTTGTCCACTGCGAAATGTCGCCAAGATATTGTTGATCATTATGTCTCAATCGCGCAGGCGCAATAAAATAGGATGTCTAATAATCAGGTTCATTTTCGCATTTACTCTTTCAAACCATTATTCTCCCTCAAAAAGAGGGAAAATGTTACAAATGACATTTATTTGGATTTAAAGTGTATCAAGTATAAATAATTTCTCTTAATACTATTTTCATTTTCTGAGAATATTTTCGAAAATAAATGAAAATATCCCGAATTGATCTTACCAACAGGTCAAAGGTGAAAGGCATGACTTTGACGGATGCGGAAATCGGAGGAATGCGGATGAACAGAACAAGTTGATCTTTGCAAGCGGGCAACACACAACAAACTGTCTCTATGTTTTCCTAGTGTTGTGCTTTTTAGATTCTTCATAACAACACTTTCACTTGTCATTGATATAATGTCTTCTGTTTCACATGAAAATCAAGTTCAAGATGGAGACGATAGAAACACTACAACGAATGCGGGTTTTGATAAATATTACAGACTCAAAGGTGAAAACTTGTTGACTTTCACTTTCTTCTACTTTCTCTTTCAAGGTTCACCATGTTCACCTTGCCTTGATCTAGATATCTAGATCTAGATCTAGATTCTAGAGATTCTAGATCTAGATTGATCTAGGCCTGGAAATCTAGAAATCTAGATCTACCTGTTTTTTGTGTTGCGAGATGTGCTTTAATTTAACTTTTGTGCTTAAGTCTGGGATTGGCCACTTGGTGTCTTTTTATTTGTTTCTACTAGATCTAGATCTAGAGTATTCTAGAGTCTAGATTCTATCTATGACATGATAGGCCTACCCATCATACTGTTATATATAGATCTAGATCTATATATATATATATATATATATATATAAAGGCTATGTTGTATGATGAAATCTTGTCCCAGCGGTCCCAGGGCCATGCCATTGACTTTGTTGGGCAATCTCCGGTTTTGTATTTTGCTTTTTGGATGCCTTTGATTTTTTTAGTCTAGATTTTCTAGATCTAATCTATCTCAAGACCAAGAGTCAGGGTTAGGTCTGGAGGGTAGGGGTACCAAGAAATCCCTGGGCACTCTTCGGGAGAAGTGGCCCCTGCCTAACTCCATAGAAATTTATACACAAAATCAGAACGGAGTTGCTATCTATGTACACGGTAACCGGGCTCCTAGTCTCAGTATCTACGTACACGGTAACTGGGCACCTAGTCTCACCTAGCCTCAGTATCTACTTACACGGTAACCAGAATGAAAATAAATCAATATTTTGTCCTGTGCTGTCACTTGCTGAAAAAAAAGAAAGTCATACAAGCGTCTTGTCCGGCTCGCCATCGTGACCTGTTAGTGAATCTGTGCGTGCGCATCACATTGTGAGTACCGGTTGGGGGTCACCAAAGTTCATTCAACGTCTGTGCGCTGCGAAGTACATGTATAGGGCTCCGGAATGGGGGGAATTATTGATTTTTTTTTAAAAGGTACAGGCGGGGGAAGGGTGGGGATGGTTACACCGGATGACAAAGTACTGAACTGCCCGATTACCGGTTACGTGACACTGAGACTACCTGCCCGGTTGCCGGTTACCGTGTACGTAGATATTGAGGCTACATGCCCGGTTACCATGTACGTAGATATTGAGGCTACATGCCTAGTTACCGTGTACATGATACTGAGGCTAGGCCTTTGTTGCTGGTTACCATGTACGTAGACACTGAGGCTAGGTGCCCGGTTACCGTGTACGTAGACACTCTGAAATCGGAAACCAATACTGAAGTCGAGTAGGGCCTAAAAAAGCTGACTGAGTTGCCAGGGTGAAAAGGAGACTGGTAAATTTATAGAAAAGGTCCAAACCCATGTTAGACTATTTTGCAGCACTCTTTTAACATTTTTTTGTGTGTTGAGAACAATTTTGGCTCTAAAAACTGTCACAAACCATTATTTTTGTGAATATAGCTCACCCCCCCCCCCTTTTTTTTTTATGAAACAACCAGCAACCCAAAACAAACAGTACACCTTTCCTCTCACTTCATTTATTGTATTAAAACCTGGCCTTTTTTGGGGGGGCTGTTGGAGTCCCCCTGTAACTCCCCCCCCCCTTTTTTTTTTCATGCGACTTTCATTTTTGTTTCTGATTGTGTACATGATAATGTATAAATTTCTATGGAGTTAGGCCAGAACCACTTCTCCTGAAGAGAGCCAATTAATTCCTGTTAATATAACACTAAACAAAAATTCATTTTATCATGAAAGGATTTCAAACACATGTATTTTTCTCTCTTCGTTCTATGTACAGTCGAACCTAGTTGTACTGCAACCCCCCTCCCTCCCCGTTGTAGCACTGGCACTTAGTCTTACCACCAGGTTTTGCCAGAACGTAAAGGAACACCTATAATGTTTAAATATAATGAAGTGGCATGCGTACGGCCCTCCACTTCACATAAGCTAGGCTTTGTAGGTGGCACATAGACTATCAAACCAGCCACGGCAAGTGGACAAACTTAAACCCTGGAATCGCGCAGGCCTTTTTTAAAGGGCGAGGGCCTGCACGCTTACGGGGTAGCCCGGAAGCGTGCAGGACCTACTTCAATTGGGATGCGCGCTGCTATATAAAGGGCATAGATGATGACCTTTTTTTCAATGAGAAATTTCATAGGGAAAATGACGTAGTAAATTACAGGTCAAAGTTAGTTATAAATAGTGACCAGTGACTTTGAAAGTTATCTTGACCTCGTAGAGCGTCTCTTGGCCAAAGATCGTACATAACTGTAACAAGATAATTCACTCTGCCAAAAAAGTGTCAGCGGAAGTCCGCACTTTTGTTCAGATGACGCTGCAGTCTTTGTTTTGAAGCTCTCTTTCGTTTCTCCAGCAGCAGAATAGGAATAGCACAATTTGTTAGTTTCACTTTTATTATTTTTTTTCACACAAGTACGGTCACTCTGATCGCAAAGTCCACACTTTTTCGAAGAGGACACCCCCAAATATTGAGGACCCTTTTTTAATTGGCTCAAATAGAGGTGTGAACTATCTTGTTGACACACAATCTTTGTCTTGGCCAAGATATCGATCAATAAAGTGACCCGGTCCAGCTGAGCGATTATCAAGGCCTTATAAATCTAAATCTATACTTTAGAGAGGGCCGTACGTAGGGAGAGCCGTACGCATAGCCAGGAGGAGGGAAGGCCGTACGCATAGCCACAGGCTAAATAGTGTTTGTGTCTTCACCCCACCAACTGACTGAATTTTATGATCCTTATCAAACTAATGTTAATTTAAAATTTCCTCCAACGCACCACCTGAGATACACTATGCATGATACACAGCACCCATATATAGGTGGCTGCTTGTGATAATCTTTTTCCCGACACATGTTTGTGCGAGCTCGGCATTTTCTCGCGCTTTTCGCCGACTTGCTCCTGTTCTATTATTTTTAGGCTTTGCAAATAGTTGAAAAAGAAATTGGAATCAAATTTTAAAGTTGTCTGGAGAAACTTCAAATTCAGAGAAACTGTGCCACCTCGGTGTGTCGTCGAAATATCTGGTGTCACCAGACATTAGCCCCATGACCAAAAGGATGGCAGGCACCGGTGAAAATTTTTATATGGTGAGGAGTCATGCTAAAGTCTAGGTGAAAGATTATAGGTTGCCTGAAGACTGACGAGTATTGGGTACTAAAAAGAAAAAAAACTGTATGTGTGTATAGAGGGTCCTTGACGCATTATAGCATAGCTTCTGATCCAGCAGACATTTTCAATTTTAATTTACTTAAAGTTGACCTGTAGCTATATACAGTAGTCTCCGCCTAAACGCACGGTACTCGGGAGGGCTCCTTAGCGTGTGTTTATACGGAGCCTGCGTTTACATGAACCTGTGCAAAGGGAGGAAGGGACGCAGTCATTTCATTGCTTTGATATTCTAGTGACCTCCCTTTGGGGTGGGGGTCAGAAAGACAGACTCGATGTAATGAATGCACCCATAAAATGTCGGGAACCAATAGCCTAAAAAGAAATTGTTGGTGATAATCATAGAGACGACGGCCCAGCCACGTGGCTTTCCAAGCGACCACCCCCGACCGTAAATTCATGAACGAGCATTCATGCGTGTTTGGCATCATGAGCTTAGGTCTAACTAAACATTAGCCAGCACGCAGTCACTCAAACACCAGTCAGAAACCTTCTCTCAAAAGAGATGCATTTCCAGTGACCAATCAAATAACATTTCAGTCCCTCAACCCCCCAACATTTCACCGACCAGTCCTAGACCCATGTGTCTGTGGAAAGTTAGGTGTGAAAACGCTGTCCATCACTCTCTTTGTTCGGCGTAAGGGGCAGTCTCGCCAAATATCCGGTTTTCTAGGGCTCTTCTTATGCTAGCTGTGCAGATCGTACAGCAGTGGTATTGAAAATTTCTCTTAGTCAAGCTTTACCTGTCAGCGTGTTTTGCAGATCGGAGCGTGCGTTTAGAGGGAGTGGCCGTGCGTTTATACATCTAAATTATATAGTCAAAAACCCGTTAGATGACGAAAGCATGCGTTTGAGCGGAGCGTGCTTTTGTATGGCGTGCGTTTAGGCGGAGACTATGGTATATGGTAATTGGTTGGTTAATTTTTCCCTGGCTAATGGTTATCGCACAAGGCAGAAAAAAATCAAGACTTGCCTCGGTTTGTCTCTCATAGTCTAAGTCTGCCGCTAGTCAAGATGGCAATCGGTGCTATCCCGTTATACCGCCAGCTCTGCTGTACCACCAACTTCATGCTTATCCCAAGGTAGGAGTAGGAGGTATAACAGGGTTTGACTGTTTTGCAACTTCCTTTAAAACGACAGTTAAAAAGTTCTAGCAGATCTGGTTTACACAAAGGAACTTTGGACCATTAATCATTAATTTATCATTCCTACCGGTCGACTCTCCCCGTTCCCTTTTTTTTAAAGCTCCAAGTTGTAAAATAGAAGCTGAGAAGCCTCATTATAAATATATGTGACACAACAGGTGTTCAGTTGTCTAAAACACCTTATACTTTCTTTTCCCCCCTCTTCTCGTGCATAACGATTGGTTAGAGTGTGGCTGTGTTTAAGGAAAGGAAGTCGAGACACCAGGAAGCTGCCAATCGTCTATACTTCATCTTTTTAATTATTATAATGAATGAGAAACCATAATTTATCAATTCCATGTTATGTTATAAATTTTATCTTAATCTTAGTAGTTATGACTCTGGTTATGTAGATAAACATCAAGTACCCAGCAACAAGCTCCCTTGAACTTGAAACTCATTCTGTGGGGTCAAGGCATCTGTCAAAGGTTGATAGGTTTCCTTTTTTTCTGTTTTAAACTTTTGGCAGTTGTAAATAAATCACACAAGTAAAGCCTTGCATTTGAACAGTAAAGAAAGAACTTGCCGTCCCAGTTTTTGTTCTTTCCATTCTGTAGTCTACTTAACTATAGATGAAATCTGCTTTACGAAAAGAAGCAATTCTCCTATATATATGATGTAAATTGTGTCTTTGTGAATGTCAAGCATTACAGTTAGCTCTATTAGCTGCGTTGTAGAAGTGTCCAAAGTGGTGGTTACTATGTTTTCTCTTTTTCAGAAGTTTTTAAGTGTAGTAAAATAAGTTTCATCATAGGTCAGTTTAAAAGTGACAACTCAGAAGAAAATTGTTAAGGAGAGCGGATGATAGATTAGGATGTACCTTGAATGTGCTGCCCGTTCTTGTCACATAGTTTCTGAGATGTTTGTGTGACGCTGACCTGTAATGATGTCTCCATCTCTTGTCACTGTTTCCCCTTCATGTATGTCAATGTTCTGAAAATTGAGCGTCAAAATGTTTATAAGACGAAAAATATCATAAGTGCAAAAGTCTACGTTTGAAAACTGTATATATTGCCCTGCTATCTCAGTTGTGAAAAATAAAGCTACCTGAAATGTATTTGGACTATGTTACTCCTTTTTTAGGTTCTGATGGCACATTTGTCAATTTTTGAAAAATTTTGAAAATGTTCTTTTAACAATGATAATGATATATGCAATTAAAAACCCCCATAGAGCCTCGTTATTAACTCTTTGATTTCAATAGCCGTTAAATTGGTGTTTTTTGTTCCTCTTTTTTAAATGGCATTTTGGGGGTATGATTCAGTCATTCTCAAGATGTACTTGGTCATGTGCTACATTTTCTACATAGTTTGACTATATTTTGATTATTTGTCCAATTATGAATAGTTTGAGTGCTCACACAAATAAGTCCATCAATATGTGATTGAATTACAGCTGTTTTAGTTTTTAAGGTAACACTCAAATTGGGTGCGTAAAATTGTGGAATTCCTTGCGAACTGTAGTGAAAGGGTCAGTCTCTATGAGCCTTTAGGTCAAAGGTATTTTTGCTTCCTAGTGGAGTCTCAATAGTCACATTTTCAGGTGTTTTTTTTTTTTAATTAAAAATCTGAAGATAAAAAAATCAGAATAAATGAGAGGAAGTGGAAAATTATGAAATTGTGAATTTAAATGACAGTGCATGCATAACAAAACAGTTAGGTAAAAAAAAACAGAAACATGATCAGCTCAGAGTTTTGAGTTATTTTGAGATTTTTGTCCAACCTTTCTGAATAGATTTTCCAGAGAACCATATAGATAAAAATTAGAGAAAGGAAAAGGGAGAGATGGAGATAACAGCAGAAAATGTAGGGAGAGAAAAAGGGAGGGACAGAAATCATAGAAGAAAAGTTAGAGAGAGAGAGAAGGGAAAGTTATTTTACATACCTTGATTCAATGAGCGTGATTCTTGCTTTTCATCATGATTTCAGCCATTGGTTGTGTTCTATGCTATGACTGGGACAGGTCAGGTTTTAGTTTGAGGAGACAGCGTGACCTTTAAGAGGCTTACCCGCCACAGAATGAGCATGGCCATACACGTGATCTCGACTATTGATTCCTTGACACATGAACAATGAAGAATCAGATCTGTTCACTAAGTGCCTTAATTACAAAGAAGAATGCTTTAATGTTATCAGACTGAAGTTTTTGTTGCTAAATATGACATGTTTCCCGTAAAATTGTCATGCGTATTGTGTGGAACTTTGCCAGAGTTTGCTATGAATCATATTTGTACGTCATTGATTACAATAAGCGAACTTGAAAAAGAAATTGAAGCCCATGTAAAGCATGTTGTTTTGAGGTGGTTACTAAGTGCCCTGGCCTGTTGTGATTTTCCACATCTCTCTTTTATTGTCAAAGAGTTTGGTTTTATAACCTCTGTGGTAATGCGTATCAAGGGAAGTGCACTGTTGATAAATAAGAAAGCCAGGGCACTTTTTAAAACACTTTTAAGTAGCATAAGAAGTCACAAAAAGCTGCGTAGTAGACATTGTTCTTAACAGCTGTTGTTTAATGATCAGTTTCAAATGTGAATTTTGAACATGTTGCCTTGGAGATAAGATTTGTTTTGGAGGTCATGCCTCTTTGAAAACCTATTTTTTTCTGAAACAGGTTTTAAAACCCAATATGACTTTCATATACTCTATTTATGCCTGAGGTGCTTGTAAGCAAAGACCTATGACATATTTCCAGTGACAGCTGTTATGCATCAGCATCTATGGTTTAATGGTTAAGATCTTTGCCAATTATAATTGCTTGGAGAGAGATGCGAGTTTTCTTCTTAAATGGGGAAGTTTATCTTATATAGAGTATCTTCATTTGTCTGCTGGGATACTGCACCTCCCTCAGTCTGGGTTGGCTGGGACTGGCAAAGTTGAAGCAGCCTGTCTTCTTGATGATCTAAATAGTTTCAAAGCATTCACAATCAATCTGCCAGTTTTTCTGAGTGTGTGTAATGAATGCGTTCATTGATGTGTGTAATGAATGTGTTCATAGATATATGTGTATTGAATATGTTCTTTAGTGTGTGTAGTGAGCGTCACCATGGGTTTGTGTATTGAATATGTTCATGGGTGTTTAGTTTTAGTAAGTGAAGTGTTTTATGGCACTTGCAACACAATAAGGTCATATAAGTGCGGAAGATTAGAGGTGTTACAAGAGAGTAACAAACACAAAGAAAGAGAAGGAGAGATATTATAAGGACGATAGATGTTTGATAGGAAAGAAGAAGCAAACCACACCAGAGCACCCTCCAACCACCCACGTTCATGGGTGTGTGTAGTGAATGTGTTCTTGGTTGTCTGTAATGAATGTTGTGCTCTTTCTTCCTCATGCGCTTCGTGGCTGTGTTGTGTGTGCCATCAGCTGGAGTGTTCCTGGCCTCTGTCACTGGCATGTCCATCCTTGGTGGCTTCGGCATGACACTGGCAATGGCTAAGAAACAAGATCCACAGATGTTTACCAAGGTTTGTACCTTTTGTTTCATGGCTTGCGAGTGGTGGAGTGGGTGGTTGAAGGACTCCACTGGTAGGTCCTACTCCTTTTCTGTCCTTTTTTGTTTCTGGCTGTCTTTCTTAATTTTCTTCCCAGCACTAAATAAATGCTATCATGACAGTGTGCCTCTTTTTTTCTTTTTACTCAGACAAAACAAGCAAACGTTGTTAGCAGTCGATAGATAATACTAGAAGGTCCTCCTCCTTTCCTGAAAATCTTATATTTGATGTCCATTATATTGCTTATAATAATAGAATGGTATAGAAGAATAGTGCGATCGTATGAAAAGTTATAGGAATGCAGAACTGAAACAGTCAGAGTGTAGAATTCATTATTTAGGTAGGCACTTTTTATTATGTTTTCTTATTATTGACAGAAAGAGTATGCTTATACATTCTCATGGTTTCGTTATAAAAATATGTACCCTAAGGAAAATATTTTTTATTTTGGGTCTCAAACTGATTTTGTGGATCCCTCATTTTTCGTTTTCACCCTTCATTAGTTTTTAACTGTTTATTACCATGCTTTTTCTGAAGACATTTTAGGGTCTATAGGGGAGGGGGGGAGTGTAAGAAGTGGAGGAGGGTGTTTATTTGTATGTATGTCTTCAAATGTGAATTTCAGCACAGTAGCAGCACCTTTGTAACTTTATCATTCACTGGGATTTTTAATTTGTTCTGTCTGTGGTATGTAATTATGGGATAAAATTGTGCAGTTGTATGAAAGTAACATTATATTTTACACAAACATGAAGAAATCATTGGAAGCTCATTGCAGTCTCATCTGCTCCTCAGGGTTTCGCAGGATCCCGAGAGATCCCGGAGAGTGGTGTTAGTCTGGCAACTCGTGCCCTGGCAAGGGGCTCGTTGTACTCTGTGGCAGGTGTCGGCATCTTCTGTTACGCTGTGTGGAAGCTGCTCGGTGTTCATAGTGTAAGTTCACTGTCTCTCTGTTGGTTTGAATACAAAACATCATACTACGGAGAAGAGTGTAACATGTACGAAGCTTGTTTGTCATTTCTGAAAAATGCTTTAAGTAAAAAAAAAGCATTTGAGGTTTTGGAAGGGCTTCAGTTTTTACTAATGTGACGATTGAGAAAAGTCCGTAGCAGCATTTAAAAAAAATTTGTTTCTGCAAACTGGGGAGATTTGATTGTTTTGACGAAAGCAAATGTGGTTTTGATGGTACAGTACTCATGACTTTCAAGTGACATCTGAAACGGACATCGATGATTATGGCTTTTCACGATTATTGTGCTCTTGTATGGTTTTTGACTTCGTTTATATTGGAGAAATGTTCAAGAAGAAGACTTCTTATTGTGCCACTTAACTCCACTTTCGGTCTGGAGTGGGAAAAGAAGCTAGACATAATTTAGGCGGAAAAATGGATGAGTCTGCTGAATGGGGGGAGGGAAAGGGGGGGGAGCAGATGGGGGTGTAGAGTTGTTATACTGCAGGGATTGGCGATCTCTGGCCTTTTGCCAGTTCCAGCCTAATGAGGGTTTTTGTCAGGCCTTATGTCCCTCTACTTTTAATAATAATAGATAATAATAGATTGCATTTATATAACACTATATCCCATACCTAGTATAAACTCTGAGCGCTTTACATCAATCTCATGATCACTGATTACTTATTTATTATTATGAACTGTATCATGACTATAGTTTATAATAGACTGTTTCTTTCGTTGCAAAGAGACTTCCTGACTAGTGAGCAGAGACCAGTGTAACACATCAATGATAAGATGCCGACACCCTTGTCTGCATCTTTCCACAATGATAATGTTTGTCTTAAATGGTTGATTTAGAACGTTAAAGTCCTCTCACTCACTGACCTTCATTTTTAGTAGCCACGTGCATAGCATCCATTTTTTTGTTTTCTGGCTTAGCAGGTCTTCTTTGAGCTCGGAAATAGCTTAATTGGTTGGAAAGGTTGTGACCCCTGTTATACTGTTAAGATATACAGCTTCTTTTGCTACTGTGGATCCTTAAGATACAGTTGTATATTTTGCAATTTTTTTTTTTTGAGGTCATTTAATATTCTTTGAGGCTGTTGACAGTACATTGAGAAAAAACAATTCTTTGTATATTCTGTTACAGATGGTTGAGTTCCGACAGAAGGTGGGTACAATACTCCCGACCATACCCAAGAAAGACAACCCAGGGAGAGGAGATTTCATGACCATAAGGGACTTGTTCAACTACATCATAGAGGAGGACGAGAAGGAGAAAAGAGAGAAAAAAGCCAAAGAAATTTCTTAGCATTATGTGAAATCTGTGACCGTGGACAGATCTGCTATTCACTCCCTCCAGAGAGGTCATAAAGTGAGTCTGAGGCTCTGGATCGTCCGAAATTCAGACATGTCAGAGGAAATGAGTGCACCTCCGATTGCTGGTTTCCCACCGTACACCAATGGGGGATTTTTCTCCTCTGTGTTGACATGGAACTGACCAACAAGCCATTCTTTATTCAACAAAATGAGAGAAAACACTATTGTGTGGGCACGTTTATTCCTCCGATGTTATGGAAACCTATGGATTGTGCTTCGGATTCTAAATGTCTTTTCATGACGTTGTGAATGGGTACAATTTCCAGCCTGTGATTTAGTCTTTTGATGGTATCTCAAGGTGTGGAGACACAGAAGAAGGGATGAAAACGCAATGTGGTTGGGACACTTGAAAAACCATAAGTAATTCTTATGTGAAATGGACATATTTAAGTTGGATTAACGTGTGAGAGAAAGCATGGAAGTATGAAAAAAAACCCACCTGATGGGTCATGAAATATAGCTGTGCCTGTCAAAATCAGTAGTCTAGGTGGAGGGTTTTGCAAATCTTGTGACCAGTGGGTTATATACTTTTGTAATTTAGTTTATGCATACAGTGGGTGTCGCTTTCAACGAGGTCACATTCAACGAGAAGTCGGCTCCAACGAGGCAATCTTTAATCCCCGATTTTTGTTCCTCTATCTCTTTGTAAATGCACGTCAGCTCCAACGAGGTTTCAAACAAATCGAAGTCGCTTTCAACGAGGTCACGATAACCAAATAAATGCAATTAGCGACCCCAAAAGCGAAGAATTTTTCTCCTTTCTCTCCATCTCATGCGAAGCACAAGGCCCATCCTCGATTCCTAACAAATTGTAATTCATTGTATTGCTAGATCTAGTGTGCCTCCTAAGATGGGCCCCAAAGCCAAGAGGATGGGCGAGGGTTAGCCTACAGTTGGGATGGGAGGGGGTGGATGGGAACGTGATGCGGCCTGTGTGAAAGTGGATGAACTCTAGATGGGTATGTCTAGATCGAGACCTTCATTTTTTTCGATTTTCTTTTCTTCCTCTGATTAGAAAATCCGAGCTCCCGCCTTTACTTTATGTAGATGTCTAGGCCTAGATGTGAGAGGGTATGTTTCCACACGAGAAGTGATCCGCAAAAAAATATTTTAAAATGCAGAAATGACGGTCAGAACACAGCTCAAACATGCGCACACTGATGCCGTTTGAGATTTTCATCATCGGGGGAACAACTGTTTTAATTACTGGTATTGTTACATCGTATAATATAAAACTTGTCTCCTTTATTTTCTTTAGCCTTGGTCGCGTTCCACGAGAGGTCGGATTCTACAAAGACAACAGGCCGGTCCCGGTAATTTCATTGAATGTGACACCCACTGTATCTGTAAGAGATGTGTAATGTTGAGAAGATAGACAAATTGCTTTCTGGTAGGCCTACTTGTCGTGAAGCTTTGTGCCTTTCCCTTTCACTTTCAAAAGTAATAGTAATATGATCAGTTGGAGCCGTGCTGGACTATGGAACGGCTGGCCCTAGTTCAAACAGTTAATATATAATTAATTGTAACATTCTTGAATGAATTAGTTTGCTTGGACCTGTAATTGCTTCATTTGACTTCATTTGGTACTCTCCTACTAGTCCTAGTTGTGACTCATGCAGGGCAGGGCAGTTTCTGTCTGTGTTGCCTGGTATTGGTTGCGACATAATTTTGAAATTGAAGAAGTGATTTTGGAACGTGAACGTATCTTTTTCGTTTCTTTGCTACATTTGTTGCTTTTTTTTTTCTTTCATCTTCGTTTTGTTTGTATTCTGTAGTAGGAAAAAAGAGTAGTTTGCTCCAAGAGCTGTGCCACTTTCCCTACGTTTAGAGTAAGTTGAGTAAGTACCTTTTACTGCCTCACAAGGTGCTAGAGAAGGTTGCATTTCCTTCACATCATGGTGACTGATATGTTTCATTCAAATTTGCACATGAACATGATGTGTGTGGGAGAAACTCTGGCTGGTTCAGGGCAAGGTATTTAAATTGAAATTGTGCTCTCTGAACTTCTTAGGTAATGATTCAGTTTATGCAGGAAGAGGTGTTTGATTACATTTTTCTCCCTTTAATAAGTAATTGATTGTAGCTTGTCTGGTCTCTTCATGTTTGACTTGTGTGCCAATATCATCTTGTGAAATCTCATCAAGGTGTCATAGTCCTCTTTGTATTTTGTGTAAGAGTGGAGGAAAAATTGAATTACTTGTTGCTTTCTTGTGCCGTGTGTCTGTTTACGTTATGAAATTTTATTTGTGATGTGAAAACCTGTCTTTGGGAGTGAAGAGAGAAAGAGGGAGAAAAAGAGAGAGAGAGAGAGAGAGAGACTGCTGTGATATGAAGATGGACTGTGTAAAACTGTTTGGACACATAAGGTGAAATCCTCTTTCCCTTACATGAAATGCAGAAGTGTTGGAAGGTCATCTCTTGCCCCAACAATTACATAAAAACATATACCAACATTTATTTGGACCTGTGCCTGTGATGTAGCAAGCAGTTGGGCGCTTCACTTTCACTGTAACACGCAGGAGACCCGAGTTTGATTTGCGAGTGTGGAACATTTTTTATTGAGTATAATCTTAGTCTCTGTGCTGGGATGTTGTTGTATCCCTCTCAACCTGGGTTGGCTTTGACAGACAGGGTCGGGAGCCAGCCCCCTAAATGATCGAAATTATGTATGAGGGCATAAAAACACTTACATTTAAAAATTATTTATTTTCTTAACGAAACAGGAAGGCGAACTCAGATTAGTGTATAAAATCTTTTTATTTCATTTGCTTTTGACCTTGGATAAATATCTGGGTCAGCAACATCTACATACACATGGATACAAATGTAACTATTATAAGATGGCCATGGAAAATGACAAAAGAGACCCCAAAAAATGATGTAGCCTACATGCCCCATGGTTTGTCTCAAGAAATGGATGATGATGATGTCATTATTGTAAAGCTACAACTACTTAAAATGTTCCTGGGTGAAAGAACTTTGCCGCTGACTCTAAATTGATTAGACTTAAAGGAAAGCTGTTTATTCAATTATTGTTCAAGTTCAAGGTCTGTGACGTTAAAAGTATGTGTCTAAATTTACCTACAGAAACCTGGTAAGACAAATGCTCTGTGTATGTGAGTGTATTAGAAGTAAACTATTGGTTATACATGATGCTTTGAATCTCAAAATAAAGCGTGTGTCCGACTGAAATTTGTTATTTTCTTTTTATTTTCTTTCTGTTTACACTACAGCTGTTTTTGGATAAACCGTGTTCGGTTTTTACCGGAGTCCTATATTTTGATGGGTGAAGAAATAAAAGAGAAAGTTCACGGATGTAATGTTAAATGCAACTTTACAAAGGTCAATCACAGTCTTTCCGCTTGAGCAATTCATAGAGGCGAATTGCTTTTTTTTTTTAAGTGCAACAAATTTGCAAGTGGGAGGGGCAATGGCAATTAAACGTCTCATGTAACTTTATCACACAGCATATTGTTCAACATTTGGCAACATTTTCACCGATTCGTACAGAGAAACAATAAACTGTACAAAGACAAATCTCAGAGTTCGCTAGCAAGAGACGCCCAACATCAATAGCACAAAAACACCACTCACAAAGTGCTGATATGAATCTGGAAATTTGCACAAGGTTAAATCTACAGATTTCATTTAGTGGGACTATACATTTACTTAATATATTTCTCGACGTGTAACAGTTCAAAATTTTTAAATACAATATTTTGGTTATTCTAATTTGAACACTACATCAGTCTTTAGAAATAGAATCTTGCGAGTTATTAGTAATATTAGATATGTGGAAAGCTCATACGCTGTTCTCATTATTTTTACTCTTTTTTGAGCTTCCTATTGCATTACTCATTTTCTCCTAAGTGTGTTTCTTAGTACTGATGGTAGACAATGGAGAGAAAGAGAGAGGGGTTAAATTCGGTGGGAGGAAAACTGATTCCCTCTCACCTTCTTTGATATATAGGAATGTATACAATGGGGAATGGGGAACCCAATTAATTCTATCAGTGCTCCGAGCTGGAGTACTGCAAACACAATGAAAATAATTTGTTCAACATTAAGCATTGAGAAATTAAAACTGTTCTCATTACTTTATGGTTTTGTACAAGTTTTCTGAAGTAACATGAATAACGATGAGTAAGTTACTAAGTACATTGACCACAACAATAAATCACAAAGTAGCAAAGGCAAGCACTCATAACGGGACTAACAATAAACTCCTCGTCATCTTCTGTAAGGAGGTAGGGCCAGGACCTGACAGGAAAAGGCATATATTGCCAAGCTAAGCAGATTTTTCTTAACAACCCAAGATATTTATCTGAACCATCTAGACAAATTTTGACAAATTCGTTTGCAACAGTCTTACAGAGTTACAGTTAAGGGGGGGGGGGGGGGGAGAGCTGCAATTTTAACGCAGGTCTCCACAATCAAGCACCTATTCTAATCAGTTCTGCTACATGTGTTAACATTAACCTAGATCTACTTGAATTTCAGCCGATATTGTTTTCAGAGAAACGTATGACATCAAAAGGTAATGTATTGTCAAAATCTCTGAAGAACATACCGAAGAATTTGACTTTGATGAATTCATTGTAAGTAGTCTAACTTCTAAGCTGGTTTTATAAAGGCACCTCTATCATAAACTTTCAAACCAATACACATCATTGTTATTTTGACCATAGACATTTACCACAGACAGGTAAAGAGAGGATGACAACACAGGTAAAGTTCTAGTAGTACAAAATCACAAGTTAGTTCTAAAGGCAAAAGCAACATGGAAACACACATGGGACATATCAACTTAGCCAGCCAAAAGCCTCATTTTGGCGTTATTTTCTGCAACAGTCTTCTGTTCTGTAGGCTTCTGGGTTATCACAACACCGTGGCAAATAATTTATCAAATAACGTACATATTTACACATGACATGAGGTGATCATATACACATGAATGGGTGGAGAATTATTGGACAGCACAGATCTTATTCTTAGAGAGGAGTGAAGAGAGATAGAAGTGACAATTGGCCCACTTGTTCAGCAATGTGTTTTGTTAACTTATTTTAAGGATGTGTTTGCTGGTCACCTTCGTTGTATAACAAGGCCAGTCTGGATTATCCAACACCATAACCTCTGCACAGGCTAGTTAGAGTTATAGCATTTCTTGGGTATAATGCAAGACTACCAGATGAGAAAAAAGACTACCGGGAGGAGATGTTTTGGAAGGAGATAGATATTTAAAAAATCAACCATAGTGCACATACTGTTTTCAAACCGCCATGAAAGAGATATGATGATTTTGGGGGGAAAAAAAGAAAAGACTCCAAAGAGCCCACTGCTGACATGAGTCAAAATCTCAAATTTTACAGTTATAATTACATTTTTGCTTTAAACCTGTGACCTCTTGTCTCATGAGTAGGGTGGAATGTAGGGACAATGAATAACGTGTACATTCTTACATGATTTCTATGTGATGAACACCAGAGCTATATATGGCAGGAATCACAATTAAGTCTTACAATCATTACGAGAGATGTTCAATAAAATGCAAATTGTTAGTCTAACAACTAATGATCATTACGAGAGATGTTCAATAAAATGCAAATTGTTAGTCTAACAACTAATGATCATTACGAGAGATGTTCAATAAAATGCAAATTGTTAGTCTTACAACTAACAGAATCATATCGATCAGACTTTCACCCAATTTTTGGTATCATTGCATATGGTACATTGTTTCATTTTAAGGCTGTTAAGATATATATTATGTAGCATGGGGAATGAACATGACAAGATGACGTTGGTGGTGGTGGTGGTGGTCAAGTTCTGAGAGAGGTGTGATGAACATGACAAGATGATGGCGGTGTTGGTGAAGCTCTGGCAAAGGTCGAGAGGATGGAAAAGGGGGAGGGCGGGGAGTCAAAAGCTCATAAGAATGGGCTTACCAAAATCTGACAGAACGTCCTAGAAAATGATGGACATTCCACACACAGGTGATACAATGAAACTGTTGGTCTTTGCCAAGAAACTCAGGGTGACCTTCTGGTCACATCTCCCGAGTATCTTCATAAATTTTTTAAATTATGCAAACAATCTCAACAGTTCTAGGAAATCAGCAAAGCTTAACACGTAACACTTAACCCTATGGACAACCCTTATGTTTCTGCCCACTGAGCACACACTTCAGTGTGCACCGGTGTAAATCTATTAACTGACCCAAAGAAATTCAGGTGCGAGGCTCCTGTAAACTTTAAGGGCTAGGGCTCAAACTCAAAGGGTTATAAAGTTTTAATTCACGAACATGTATATTATTCATCATGAACAAATATGACATAACTTAATACAACTTTGTGAGTGTTTAAAAGAAAACACCTATGAGACAGCAATTCTAATTTCAAACTTGTCTCGCATAAGAAGTTTTACTCATTTCCTCTAAAAACAGAGCTTTTCTGACATCTCTTGCCCCCTAGAAAAAGCCATATCTATTACAAGCCAGCGTTTGGATTTCCCCAAGATAAAAGACTAAAACCACGATGTATTGATTCTACAGACATTATTAAAAAATGCACAAGTAGATAAAATTGGACTGTGCTAATGTCAGACATTCGTGTTATGCTCTGACTGTATAAGTAGAAGTTGGACAACTTGTTCTTAGTTTTAAAACTAATTAAACCTTGATGAATTTCCACCAAGGTAAGCTTCTTCTGTCTGTTGAAAATTTTTTCATGACACTAGTTACACACAGCTGGGGCATAGTACCTTCGCCGTTCAGGCCTCATGATACAGTAGTCTCCGCCTAAACGCACAGTGCTCGGGAGGGCTCTTCAGCGTGTGTTTATACGGAGCGTGCGTTTACATGAACCTTTGCAAAAGGAGGAAGGGACGCAGTCATTTCATTGCCTTGATATTCTAGTGAACTCTCTTTGGGGTGAGGGTCAATTTTTGCAGATAATGTGACGACACGTGACTGTTTTGTGAAGGATCCCCCGACTGTGGTTATGACTACAAAGGCGTTGAATGGAGGGGGGGGGGGTAGAGAGACAGAGAAACAGAAAGAGAGAGAGGGGGGGGGTAGAAAGAGAGCCTCAATGTAAATTAATGTAATGAATATGCACTATAAAACGTCGGGAACAGCTAAGAGGAAACTGTTGGAGATAGTCATAGAACTAGTCATAGAGACGACGGCGCGGCCACGTGGCTTTCCAAGTGACCACCCCCTGACCGTAAATTCACGGACGACATCAGAATCATAGATCTCTACATTCAGAGAAACATTTCTCTTGTGATTCGTTGAACAAGTACATTATAAGAATACATATACGGTCTTCGAGTGCAATTGATTAGGCTTACTTGGCTAATCTTAAACCCCATTGAGGCCTGTCTAGTGTTTTACTGCATTCATGCGTGTTGCGCATCAGGCCTAGGTTTAACTAAACATTACACGCAGTCACCCGAACACCAGTCAGAAACCTTCTCTCAAAGATGCATTTCCAGTGACCAATAAAAAAACAGTTCAGTCCCCCAACCGCGCCCCCCCTCTCCCCCCTCCCTGACCAGCCCTAGACCAAGAACCAGACCTATGTCTCTTTGGAAAGTTGGGTGTGAAAACGTTGTCCATCACTCTCTTTGTTCCGCGTGAGGGGCACTCTCACCCGGTTTTCTTGGCTTGTCTATGCAAGCTGAGCAGGTTGTAGTGAAAATTTCCCCTTGTCAAGCTTAACCTGTCGGCGTGTGTCGCGGATCGGAGCGTGCGTTTAGAGAGAGTGACCGTGCATTTGTACGTCTAAATTATATAGTAAAAAACTCGTCAGATGATGAAAACGTGCGTTTGAGCGGAGCGTGCTTTTGTATTGCATGCGTTTAGGCGGAGACTACTGTATCATATTCATATCGCAATTCACTTGAACATCACAGTCACAGAGTAAAAAACAAGTACAAGGCTGTAAAAAATACAAGATATGTGCTGTACACTCAGTTTTGCTGCTACGAATGTTGTATCAATGGCTTCCATCTGGACGGATATGGGTAAAATTGACTGGTACAACCTTGCAAAAGTCCATTATTAAAAGTACATCATATATATTTAGATATGAACAATAAAAAGGAAAAACTTAAAAGTAGATTATAGTCGATATAGATCTTCAAAGATAAATTAAAAGAATAAAAATTCAGTTAATTTCCAAAGTAAAGGAAAATAAAATGGGACCTAAATGAAATTCATTGCTCACAATCATAAATTCCAGTATTTTCATTGAAGGTAATGAGGAGTAGCAACAAAATTACTGAACTGATTCATCGATAAAATGAACATGACACTTCCTCTGTCGAAGCTAACATCATTCACACTGGAAGAAAATTCCAAATACAGGTACCTGTACAAGTCATGCTAAATTTGGTACAATAGATTTAAAAATTTTTTCAAATGAGAGTGTATAGGACATATTTACATGCAATCTTAGAACTTAGAATGGATCATTAGTTCTTCTAGAAATCCAGTCATGTACAAACCTGAACTCTTAACCAGGGGTACATTCTCCATAAATGTAACAATGTGTTTGCAAAGCATATAAATTTAATACTGGTACATCTCATGCAAATAAACTGGTTACCAGTATGGTGGTAAGCTACGCTAAATAAATGAATAAATAAATACAGTTCTACCACCAAGAAAAATCTCATTCTTTGATCTTGATGTACGTATATTATAATATATGGTACAATAATATAACAATATGCAATGAGTAAAGAAAAAAAGGGGGTCACGCAGTTGTCACCTGATGTCTGATGTGTTTCTCCCGTCTTTTTCGTTTTGATGAAACCATGAGAGTGGGAGAAAAAAGCTGTGGACTTGCTATGGAAGCACCAGGACAACATCACACATGGATGGTATCGGGCACAGATGGGCCATCTCTCAGGCAGCCATCTTTGTGGGAAAGGCTGAAAATTGCTCCTAACTAAATTATCACAAAGACCACCTCAACTCAAATTTCATTCACTTTCCATTTGTTGAATTTTTACAGTTTATTGATTGACCCTACTTTACAGTAAGAGAAAAACCGTTTTACTAAATGATCAAAGACCCCTTTAACTCAAATTCCAAGTGAATGTTTCATTCATTTCTATTCATTGACATTTTACACAATTTATGGAGACAATGTATTCGACCTTACTTTGCAACATAGTCAAAAATCACGTTTCACCAACTTTGGCGTTGGTCGATTTGTGCCTGACATCGAATCATATGCGGTACGTGAGAGGTGGGAGTGGCCGGGCTCTTCTATGCCAGAGACAGCAATGATGGCAGCGGCAGAGACAACAAAGGGAGAGAGAGTGGTGTCATCCTCCTAGTTCTTGTCCGCTCGTCATCACAAGATGGTGCAGGTGCGGGACTGGGAAGTGAGTTGCACAGGAAGATGTAAAAATGCTCCACGACAATGGAAACAATAGCACAATAATAATGAAAATGATAATGATATTTCATAATAAAAACAATAACAATAATAGCGGTGACAATAATAATAATAGTAGTTATAATAACTTATAATAATAATATAAAATGATAATAGTTAAATCCTAACATTTGCATTAACCCAACAGGCTAATAGGGCTGTCTGAGTGAAATACTTCTAAAAAAACAATGGTGCTTGAAGGTCATAAAAAGGTTTAATCAACTAAACGAACGATTAGGCAGATAAGCACAACACTACTTTAGAAAAGACACTACTTTTGGTGAGTCGTGGTGTTTGTGATTATTAGGAGTTGTTTGCTATTATTTCCTTTACTTCCATCTCTTTACCATTCCAGCTACCGATCACCATCAGTTAATGATGGACAAATAATAATAATAATAAAGATAACGATAATTATGATGATAATCATACCGTAATAATAAGAGTGATACAATTTTGTAATGGTATAGGTAATAATAAAAATAATTTTGATTTAGAGGAACCAGACAATATTTCACATAAAATAATATATTTTTTCGTACTGCAAGTAAAAGTAAAAGAAACAGCCCAGATCTGTTTTGACATGATCTTTTCTTGAGTTGAAAGAGAGGCACATTGACACAATAATGTTCATTTAGTGCAGGAAAGAAGCAAGACATGTAGACAAAAACAAAACAAAAAACAGAAAGAAAAGAAGTAGTCAATCACCCATCTGTCTTTTCTGAAAAAGCCACACCAGGCTTTCACTCCTTATCTCTGGCAAGCCACTCTCAGCAGCTCAGGGTCAGAACCGTTTGGCAGTGGCTTAGGCACATTCCTTTATGAAGACTTTGAGGTCAAATTAGTTTTCAACAATTGCTGAAAACAAGTCTCTTCATTAGATGAAGAACTATCGAAACAGGTTCACTTGTTTTAATTTAATGACCAATTTAGTGAGGTACAAGTCACTTTAGAATTCGTACCAACAGAGGGCCCTGCCCTCATGGGTTTACCCATCTTGGACATAAAGTTAAGAACAAATTCAGATCGAATGCTACCCACAAGCCGATGTATATAGAAAATAGATATGACAAGACGCACATACATGCAGATTTTATTTCTATCTGTTACGGCCAGGAGTATTTAGTGCTTACCTTTTTCTGGGGTGGCTTTTCGTTGTTTTGGTTTTCATCTTTTCCTTCAGAATTCTCTTTGTCATCATCTTTACCTTTCTTTTTATCTTTCTTTTTGTCTTTTTCCTTGTCCTTCTTTTTATCCTTGTCCTTTTTGTCTTTCTTCTTGTCCTTTTCATCACCATCTTCTTCTTCTTCTTCCTCTTCATCCTCCTCCTCTTCATCTTTTCCTTTCTTATCTTTCTTCTTCTTGTCTTTTTTACCTTTGTCTTTTTTATCCTTGTCTTTGCCCTTTTTATCTTTGTCTTTCTTTTTGTCCTTTTTCTGGTCTTTTTCATTTTCTTCTTCCTCATCCACTTCTTCCTCCTCCTCCTCTTCATCTTTATCTTTATCCTTCTTTTTGTCTTTGCCTTTCTTCTTGTCTTTATCCTTGTCTTTCTTTTTGTCCTTTTTCTGAGGAAAGATAAAAAAAGTAGCAGCACTGTAACTTGCATCAGTAAAAAAAAACACATACTACACTACCACCAGAGACAATAAAGACCTCCCCTTTTCTCACCATCATTTGTTATTTCTAAATCCTCACACCCTTGCTCCCCCCCCCCCCCATAGATTGGGAGGCAGCAAATTTTCCACAATTGACTGTCAGAGGAAGGCAACAAAATATTTGCCACTGTCAATAAGAACAGATTTTGAAGGTTAACATCTCCAACATGTTCTATGTGAGTCTAGTGTGGCATGAAAACAACTAAAAATTAAAACGTCACAATTCATTACCATTTGCTGGTACATCTTTAACCCATCTCTATATATTTCACTTTTTAAAATGTTGTTGTTGTTGTTTCAAATCCCTTTAGCTGTGAGCATTTCGCTCTTGGCAGCGCAATGCCTCCCTCAAAACGTTAAAGATATACTTTTCAAATGTTAAAGATATACTTGAGCAGAGCATATCCTTTTACATATCTGAACAGGTCTCTGTGCAAATGACCAAATGACCTTGGACAACATTTTTCAAAAGACATTTTTTCTTCACAATGCAAGAAGCCAAACCAGTGAAAGACACTTTGGATACGTTACCCAAAACTTCATATTATAAAGAAAATAAAATTCCGAATTCCTTTTATTTGCTTCTGAGCAAGTGCCCCATAGCTCAAGACATTATGAATAAAAAAATAAGGTCTTCGACTGAAAAACATACACATCAACGGAGTTTTCAAAAATCAACTTATTTAGTCATCGAAAAAGTAGTATAAGAGAACTTACCTTAGCTTTGCTGTCTTCTTCAACTTCTTCTTTTTCTTCATCCTCATCTTCCTTTTCCTTCTCGTCCTCTTTCTTTTTCTTCTTGTCTTTCTTGTCTAAAATAGAAAAATGGAGTGGTCATTGTTTAAGGCTTTGAGGCGATATTTCCAGAAATAATCAAAGCAAAACCGATTCTACTCTAAAAGCCTTCCAACATTGCATATTGTGCAAGAAAACTTTGTATTGACACATTCGCAAGAATTTATTATACACGAGGGGAAAACCAGGAGTTATCAGATCTATGAATAGAAGCTTAAAGCTACTCGGTTTTATCAGGAATATATGAAAAGTTAGAGTTAAACTCAAAAAAATCATTATAACTTTGAGGTTTAAGTTAGGTTGTACAGAGACAAAATATCCAAGCAATAACAATGCAACAAAATCCTTTGTTTTTTTTAGGCAGTATTTTCGGGATAGGATTATTTTGGAAAACAGAATACTATTTAGTTCCCTTGTGTTGATATTGCCTTATAAAATAGACAATAACTTTCAGTTATTCACATCTCTCTCCTACCTTTCTTTCCTTTCTTCTTTTTCTTGTCATCTTCTTCCTCTTCTTCTTTGTCTTCCTCTTCCTCTTCTTTATCATCCTTTTTATCCTTCTTGTCTTTTTTCTTGTCCTTTTTCTCGTTTTTGTCTTCTTTCTCACTCTCAGCTTTGTTGTCTGCAACAAAAGTGTAACAGCAGAATAAGCTAGCACGTAAGTTAGGTGCTTTCTAAGACAGGGCGCAAAAAAAAGCAAAATATACATTGCTTAGGGGCAAACGAGTAGAATTGTTATTGTTAACCTCAGGCTTTCAAACTATTTGTTCCACTAACAGATTAGAAACAAATAAAGAAATATTGTAGTTCAGTTGCCAGGCATAATTAAAAAAGAGTTTTTCTGGGTCTAAATACACAGATTAAAACTGAAAAGAATAAGGAGGGGACAACACTGGAGGGTCCTAAAATCACAAAGACAACCATGTGGGGATGGGCAATAATAACAATAATAATAATAATCAAAATAATAATATTAGTAATTTATTTTTTAAAAGTATTTTTAAAAATAGTAAAGAGCCTACTTCCTGAAGGCTCTTGGTGCTTCACAATAAGATAAAATTCTGACATCTTATACAATGACACAATTCATACATTTCAATATACAAAATCCTTTAAAATACATACATGCATCTATAACATATACCAACAAACATGGAAGAGGACAAGATGTGAAACAGATTAGAAGTAAAACATACAAAGGAAAGATTCTTACCAGCCTTTCTTGCAAGCATCCAAAACAAATGAAAAATGTCAATCATTAATATACAACACTCACCTTTGACATCTTCTTTTTCCTTTTCATTCACCTCTTCTTCTTCCTCTTCCTCATCTTCTTCCTCCTCATCTTCTTGTTTCTTTCGAGGGACCGGAACTGGACCTTTTTTCTGTTCAGAAAAAAAAAAAGTGAAACGTATACCCTTTAGTAACATTATTACTGATCTATCTTGGCCTATAATCAGTTAACAATTTCATATAAATCAAATACTGTGAAGAAATTAATTTATCATTTTAATCTTGTTCTTGGTAAACATTGTTAGATGAAATATTTTGCATGCACCGTAATAGTTAAATAAATTGAACAAAAACACATAAATTGTATATATTTGACGAAATACTTTGCAGGCACTGTAACAGTTGAATAAATTGAACAAAAACACACAAATTGTATATACATGTATATTTGTATCTTCTTTGAAGCTTCACCATTGATTTGAAGATAAATTTTTAACATATCAACAGTAAATTCAACTTATTATCCTGTGCAAATTTCAAGGATTTGAAATGAAAAAAGTTTGCAGCAGAATTGGGGGCGTCAGAGAAATAGGACCCACATTTGCAGTGTGCTGGTTAAGTTTTTTGTGGTTGCATGTGGGACGAGTGAGTTCAATTCTCAAGAGAAAAAGTTTTTTCATGAAGTATCTCCCTCTGTCTGCAGGGATATTGTTTTCCACTTATCCTAAGATGGCCCTGATAGGCAGGGTCGAAGCATCCACTCTTCCAAACGATATAAATTTAATCAGTTGGAGGGGGAAAAAATTCCAATTTTAGATGACTGACAATGTCTTTGAGCTTTCAGTCTTGGCATTCTCATTGAGGACCTGTACTCTAATGTCATCTTAGTGACAAAATTTAGGACCTATACGCTACTGTCATCACAGTGACTAAATTGAGGACCTACACTGCTATGTCATCATAGTAACAAAATTGAGGACCTGTACTCTTATGTCATCACATGAAAAAAATTGAGGACCAGTACTTAAATTCCACTACAGTGACAAAATTGAGGACCTGTATTCTAACATCATGGCACTGATAAACAAGCAAATCAGGAACAACAGAACACTGGAACTGGCATTGAAAAAGCTCCTGGAACCACCAGCCAGCAGTACAGTGCCATAGTGTTAAGGGTTGATTTCTCACTACCTTATAGTCCAGAGACAAGAGTTTTGGTTAAATTTTTTTATTGTAAACAAATAAAAATTACCAAAATATATTAATCTTTTTCTTTCACTTTGATGTTACCAAACAAGCAAGTAGTTTACTTATAAACGGGATTAATCAATTGCAAGTGGAAAGAGTAAATAAGAATGACATTTTTAAAATAAGAAAATAAATTATTTTAAAAAATGAAGTGTCAATTGTGTTTATATGAACATACATGAATTTAATGCAGGTATGAAGTTATTTACAAGTATGAGAATTTTCGTAACACGAAGTGCTTGAAAGTTACATCCATTGAAGGGTAGTCACACAATAATCAATATAAAGAATCAGAATACTGAGGATTGTAGTACAGAAATCAGAGGTGTGCCCTGTACACACAAAAAGAACCATTACTGTAACTTCAGAAAAAAGAGTGAAAACACACAACTTTAAAAATCAACAGAAAAATCATAAAGATGATTTTTTTTAAAAAGCAGGAACATTTTCAACAACAATCATCAATAGAAGATATAATTCTTTAAGAAACTCAAATGAATATAATGAATTTGAAAACTGAGGGTTGTGAGTTGTGACAAAAGCAGAATCATATCACCATTAGACCAAAAATTGAGCAACTGCAAAGAGATGAGACCTCAAAAAAGTAATGAATATAGAGAAAACTACAATTGTTCCTCCCACCCCCACCCCTAACGGTTCTTTTGTTCTTTTTTTCCAAAACTTAATAAATAAATTCTATTTCCGCACTGACTTTCCCTTAAAAAAAAAATTAAACTACATAGTTGGTCACTGTGAAGGTTTAATGCTCCTTTGAACATTGTATGGTTTCAACGCACAACATAACTGTAAAGTGACAAAATGTTGCCATTTCCACCATATATTATATACATATTCTCTCTATCAAACTTGACATCTCTCACTAGCAATGATCTCATCCTGGCCACGTGGGAAATCAAGCTAAAGCGGGATTCCACGCCTTTTTCCACATGAAAATGCTTCAGTGTGACAAAGAATGTGTTACAAATTACAATATAAATAATCAAGAGTCAGTATATAAGAACCATTCCTGACAAAAGTGATGCAAAACATGTCAGTACAGGTGCATACGAGTAGAGTAATTCGAATATTAAGTGCGACGTTCACTCAATTATACGTGCACACAAATGTTCAAGTAGTTCAAAGTAAAGTCGAAATTTGTTCAAGACGGCCACCAATAGTTGAAGGCAAAAGCGGTTGTCTCAGACGAGTAAATGTCTTGGACAGTGTCGATATTGTAGAGAAAAAATGCAAGGGAGGAAGTGGGAAGTGGTCGTTTGTACAGGTAATTGTTTTGGACAGGTGGTCGTAAGAGCAGGTTCGGCTTGATACACTTTTTTATTCAACAAAAGATGAAAGACGGGTAAGACCAGTGTTTCAATACAGAGTAAAAAAGTATAAGATTTTATTAAAAAGAACCCATCCAACAACAGAAGGAAAAAAAAATGAAGGTAAAGAGTTATTTGCCCCAGACCCAGCAAAAGTTAGCAACAGCAAAATCTCACACAGAACACTAACCTCTCACATTCACTACTATGTTAACTTTCACTGGGCTGGCCTTATAGAGAGCAAATGCAAGCACACTGGGGTAGAGATGGGAGGAGGGAAACAGCAGACAAATGGGGGGGCAGGTGGAGGAAAACTATACAGAAAAATTGGGGAGCAAATGAGGGGGACATGTAAAGAGGGAAATGGATATATATTGCGAATTAGATTTTGCGAGTTACGATTCGGTGAAATGCATCTTTTTACTGTAACCTGATGATTTTTCAGTTTGACAGTGCTGTCATGCAGTAAAAGAAGGCTCTCTTTTGACAACAAATCTATTATTTATAGGGAAAACTACTCTTTATTTTCATTTGACCACAACTCAAAACATTCACAGCAGGGTTGAGACACAGGTAAGGGAGACGGGGGAACATGTAAAGAGGGAAGTGGATACATATTGCGAATTAGATTTTGCGAGTTACAATTCGGTGAAATGCATCTTTTTACTGTAACCTGATGATTTTTCAGTTTGACAGAGCTGTCATGCTGTAAAAGAAAGCTCTCTTTTGACAACATATCCATTATTTATAGGGAAAACTACTTTTTATTTTCATTTGACCACAACTCAAAACATTCACAGCAGGGCTGAGACACAGGTAAGGGAGACGGGTCTCGAGAATCATGTCCAAGAGTACAAGAAAGTTTGTAATTCAACAGAAAGAAACACAGGAACTAAATGCTACTTTTTGGTAGTCAAAAGTCACATCCAAAATGAATTTTGGCAGTCAAGATCAGTCACTCTCTTCTCCACTAGCACAGTTTCATACAGGACACAAACTACTCACAAGTTTGAGCTTGAGTAAAAAAACCAAAAGGCCTCCACCAACCATTAGAAACTCAAAAGAGACAAAAAACTTAGCTCTCTGGAAAAGTTAAAAGTTCCAATTGTAGTGATATTGACACCTGTTATCATACTGTTATGTCATAGTCATATCGGTATTCACGATATCAAATCACATGTTATTTATTAAATCTATTCTACTAACAAGAGTGTTCTTCGAAGGTAAAAGAAAAAGAAAACAAATAAAATTAGAAGGTAACACACGCATTTATGAATATTGAGAGTGAGCAAAGCTTAATGTAAAAAACTTGGAAGGCAAAGCAAACAAAATACAAACCAGGACTATAGACATGCATACAAGAGCAACAAAAATACTGGCTTTGCAGGCCGATGGCTTGTGACTAGCATTGCAGAGGAAGTATATTTTATAATAGATGTTCACATCTAGGAAAACTTTAAGAAGTCTAGTCAGTCCACACTCAACATTGAAAAAAATCCTTACGAGCACTGCCGTTTCTTCTTTTTCTTCTTTCTCATCTTCACTCCATGAGTCTTCTTCCTTTTCTTTCTCCTCCTCTTTTTTTGCCGCTTCTTTCTCCTCTTCCTTAGAACGGGCTGTCGTCTTATCCTCTTCCTCTTCTTCTGCGGCCTCTAGCTTACTCTGAAGTTCCATGGTCAGTTGATCCATATCTTCCTGCACCTCATCCTTATCCTCATTCTCCTCAGCACTTTTCTCATCATCATCGCCTTTCTTGTTCTTCTTGGATGATTTCTTCTTTTCTTCCTCCTCATCGTCTTCTTCCTCTTCATCATCACCTTCTGATCCACTCTCCTCATTGAGTTTTTTTCCCTGCAAGGCCAAGTTAAGTTAGTTCTACACCAGTGACCAGATGCACGATATGCCACATGTCATTTCATCACCCCACATTTCACTTCATGCCAACCAAACAGGGACAAAGCAGTACTGTACGACAAAATCACAAATCACGCACAAACTTAGGAGACCCAGTTCAAACAAATAAAAGAGAAAAACAGAAGAACAGTAAACGGAAATCTCAATTTTCTCCAACAAAAAAAAAAAAGACCTTTCAATTATTTTTTTTTAAGTTCAAGAAAAAAAGTATAAGGAATAGTTTAAATGACAAGTCAAAGAGAAAAGTTTGAAAGAAAAGTTCAGAGGAAACTTTTACATAGTAATGTGTTTACCATCTCCTTTGACAGGCTGAAGTTATTTCACAAATGGATAAACTATGAGAAGTATGAATGAACAAAGCTTTGAGTCCACTACATGCATTGTTTTCTGTGAGGAAATTTGTCAACTATGCTGAAAAGAACAAAGTCAAACCTGTCTTGAGCACCTTAACATATCAGATAACTACCTTAGAGAATGTTTGAAACACTATGTACTGAATATATCGAGTGTAACAGATAGGTACACGGGATATCTGGGCTGAAAAAATTATAGTAGGTAATAGAGGAAGCTTGCAATGTACATTCAGACCACAGACAAAGCAACTCTGTTGACAGCAGTTGAGAGTCAATTCAATATCCAAGAAAAAGTAATAAGTTTTTTGTTTTTTTATAGTAGAAGGTTTTACGGTGCTTGCAACTGCATAAGGTCATATGAGCGCCAAAGTAATAAGTGACAAATAATTAATTAAAATTTTTTTAGTTGATGTATTCATGAAAACATTTTTTGCTTGCCGTTGTCAGTTTTAGATTTACAGTAAAAACCCTTTGCTTACTGTAGTCTTTGTTTACCTCAGTTTTCCATCAAATACTCTTTGCTTGCCTTGATAGTTTAAGCAGAAATACCCTTTACTTGCTGCAGAAGTTAGTTTTAGCTGAAATATCCAAGTGCTTGTGACAATGCAAAATTGAATTTTAACCATTTGATGTCAGGCCTTAGTTTAAGTGACGGGCAGTTTAAAAGTGAAACACAGAAACAATAAACTCTTTTCAGAAAGTCCATACCTAGGAACCTCATGGCATGGAAGATAAGACAAGAGATAGGCAATCAAAAGATGGGAAACCATTTCTGGCCGTGCTTGATGGGAAATTATTCTAGGGAAATGTGCTTTCCTCTGTTTTTAAAAAAAATCCATCAGCTTACAAATGAGTTCTTGGGAACAGGAAGGCAAAGAATGTCACGTCTATGACTTAATGGAATATAAGTTTTTTCTGGTCTCGATACCATATAGGAACCTGAGGAACTCTGACCACAGGAGGAGATCAAAGCCGATACAAAATCACTTCAATTCTATCCACATGGGACTTCACCAGTGTTTCCAAAACTTTCTTCAGATAGGTGGCCTATAAATCTTTTAGTTTAATAGGGCAAAGAAAAGTGCTTGTGAAAGTAATCTTGCAGATGCCTTAACACTTTGCCATCATATTTTGGGGAAAATCCAAAGAAACTGGGTGGTAAAGATCGCCAATCGGCGAGATAAGGCGGCAAAGTGTTAAACTGAATTCAACACATGAAAATCTCTTTCCAGTCACAAGCGATACCAAATTGACACAATTTCTAAAAACATATCATGTCAACAGGTAAACTAACTGAAAGATGAAAATTAATTAAAGTATACGCAAATACACAGATATATATAAATGAAAAATCCCAAATGAACGTAATATCCGGAATCAAATTCATCATTACAGAAAACAAAGCAGGGCCAAGAGCTTGTTACAAGGAAAGTCCATAAGAATTTGAGAACTGTTTCACCCACTTGGAGAATGTCTTCGAGCAAAAGACCGTGCAATACAGGCTCGAGACCACTGTTTGAACAAAACAAAACACGGAACTTGACCACACTAAATCATGAAAACAACTGACAAACCACAGAAAAAAGTGACCAGTTAGTAGAAGTAGCTGTGATAATAATATACCTAAACTCAGGCAAACACAGTGCACACTCACAGGCACACATGTGGACAAATTGGAGACTTGCAATATTGCACACAATGCACAAACTCTTTTTTACAAATTATGGACACGCTATTTGCTTCCTGGAAAGCCAAGACGTTTCTGAGTATTGTAGGGTCTGCTGGAGTAATAACAGTCGTATAGTGCAAAGAGTATGTTGTAGAGCAAGGATAGGCGCTGAATAAATGCAAATATCATTATTGTCATATATGCGCATGTGTTATTGTTTTTGCTGCGAGTGCTGATTACTTAATGATTTGCAGCTTGCTTTTTGTTGTAGATAAAGAAAAGCATGTTGGTATGATAAGAGTGTTATAGTTATTGGACAAGCACTACTGTTTTGTTTGTTGAAGTAAAAAGAAGCACATAAACATAATAACATTCATTTCATCCAAGGGAAAAGTCTGACAGACAGACAGACAGACAGACAGACAGACAGACAGACAGACAGATAGACAGACAGAAAAGAAGGGAGAAGGAGCCTTCCAACCACCCCCATAAAGCACCATTACCCGTTTCACTCTCCTACAACCCATGAAAGAAAAGAAAAGCAGAATTCCCAGATAATAGTGAAAAAACACATTCCCTCAGGACTGTCTCATTACAAAACAGATTTTCTTTTTTTTTAAAACTTACTCTATTGCATAAGGCATTTAATATTTCCTCTGTAGTAAGTGGAAGAAAAATTGGTTTTATTACAGCAAAAAAGGCCAGTGTGGGATAATATCATTCGCTTTGGTAAGTGTTTTACAGCGCTGGTAACTGCATGAGGATAATAATAATATCCTAAGATGTTGGTTTGTCTATGTCAACCTACAAAACAAAACCTTTCAACCAAAGTTTTTTTCCCTCTTTGGTGGAGTCTTTCCCCTTCCAATCTCATTTTGGTAGTTCTATTATGCTCCTTTTCTATGTGACGGTCTTATCATGCACTCTTATCCTCCACTTTCCATTGGCATTTCGTGTCTCTCTACATTGTGAAGATGAGACTAGAAAATATAGCAGAAACATTTAGCAAAGATTCACATGCAGCAGTAAGTCATGTATCAGAGTTAGTGTCCACTGTGATGTACGTCAAATTCATCAAATTAAAAAAAATCGAAAGCTTCTTCCTCCACCTTGTACAACTACCATTCTTTCAAAATAAAGTCCGGAGAATGTTTTTACCTCGAAGCAATTTGCTTTATAGTTTCAAGTTTATATGATAATGATGACCATAACCAATCCCACTCCAATAAAAAGTAGTATGCAAAAGCATCATAATCAAATAATAATATTTTAAACCATACATTATAATTATCCCTAAAAAAAAAAAAAAAATAATAAAAAAGGTGTAATACTAAATAATTGTTCTTCTTCCAGCTGGAGTCTTAACCGTACACAACAAAAAAGCCTTTATAGAACTCAATGTACTTGAAGGCCAGAAAACCGTGATGCTAACTCACACATCAAATCAATCTGTGTATAACACACACACACATAACGCAACCAACACAACTTTTGCATGCCAGAAGTAACCCGGTGGTGAGTGAACACATCATGACTCTATGGAAGAGGCAAATACCTGCAGGAGGGCCGGCAAAGTTCTGGGCGAGGGCCCAAGATGGCGAGGAGAAACCAAGGGTCTTAAGGGTGCCTAAAGGATGTGAGGGTCAGAGTTATGTACTGATCAGTTCGCTCATTTGGCTTGAGGTCAAATCACCCTGAGTTATACTTTGACAGGTAACTTGACAGTACAAAGACTGGGTGGGTTAAGTGCCGTAAGGGGCCCCATTGAACAGAAATCAGAAGATAAATTGGTTAAATATATTCCCATTGAACAGATGTTAGAAGACAAATTGGTCAAACAAATTCCCATTGAACAAAAATTAGGCAAAAAATTGGTCAAACAAATTCCCATTGAACAGAAATCAGAAGAGAAAATGGTCCAAAAAGTTCTCATTGAACAGACATTAAAAAAAAAATCGGTCAAATGAGATCCCATTGAACAGAAATTATATGAAAAATTTGTCAAACTCCCATTGAACAGACATTAGAAGAGAAATTGGTCAAATACGTTCTTATAGAACAGAAATTAGATGGAAAATTGGTCAAACTCCCATTGAACAGAAATAAGAAGACAAACTGGTCATGAGGTCCGTGAAAACAGTATTGTTAAGAATGTCAGGACAAACGGAAAAATTGAGGGCACATTTTGTAGATGTACAGCCCAAGAGGGCATACCCTCAAGCAAGACATCAAAGCTCAAAAAAGACTTCTTTACTATACCTGTCAACAATGGCTACTATTCAAAGTAGTTTGAAGTATTTATTACGCTATGTTACTTGTTACGAATGTTATAACAGAACAAAATCAGTCCACTCGGATCAACAAAGTCGTCTTTTCTTTTTCTCTGTTTCAAAGTTTTAACACTTAAGTAACTCATGTGGTTTGAATTCAGGATGCGCTTCACTCAGATGGGTCTAAATGTTATCATAGAATGAAATCTCTCTACCCAAATCAATACAGCTGTCTTTTCTTTTTCTCCATTTCAAAATCTTATCTTGTAAGAAACTCGTGCGCTTTGAATTCAGGATGCGCTTCACTCAGATGAGTTTATTTGGCCAACCAAATCGGCATGGGCCAACCTGTGGACAGACAGGTCCCTACAATATGTGAGTGAGAAATGATACGCTCGCCGTCTTCACATGATTCATTTGGTTTGTTTTAGTAAGGGTTTTAAGGCACTAGCAATACAATATGGTCATAGAAGTGCCGAAGATTAGAGGTGTTACTGTTACAAGAGAGTAACATACACAAATAAGAAGGAGGAGAAAAAAGGACAATAGATGTTTGATAGGAAAGAAGAAGCTCACCACACCAGAGCACCCGCCAACCACCCACTCATTTGGTTTGGAGTAGATGATGTAAGTAAGACTAACAAGTAATCAGAAGTTAATGTTTTACAGCTGCTATTGGAACCGTATCCTAAGGGTCACAACAGAAGTACAATGTAACTGGGTTGTGCATCGTCATAAAAGCGTATCAAAGTGCCTGAATGTAATGAGTGCATTTCTTTGTTGATGCTGAATCTTTGTTTGTTGATGTTCCGATGTATCCATCGAAAAATTCCCTTTTGAATCAATGGGAGGGAGAGGGAAAGGGAGAGGGAGAGAGGGAGAGGGAGAAGGAGAGAGAGAGAGAGAGGGAGAGGGAGAGAGAGAGAGAGAGAGAGCGAGAGAGAGAGAGAGAGAGGTAGACAGAGAGAAAGAGAGAGACAGAGAATGAGAGAGAGAGAGAGAGGAAAAAGAGAGAGGAAAAAGAGAGAGGAAAAAGAGAGAGAGAGAAAGAGAGAGAGAAAGGGAGAGAGAGAGAAAGAGAGAGAGAGAAAGAGAGAGAGAGAGAGAGAGAGAGAGAGAGAGGAGGGAAATCTGGGGCTGGTGAGGGGGGAGCGGGCAGAGGGAAAAAGGATAGAAAAAGGAGCAAAAGGAGATCATTTTCAACAGCATTATTCTATTGAGATAACACACCTTGACACGAGACTGCAGCTGAAGCACATACATAATATTACGTATGACATATAGCAACATCTGTGTGAAGCCCCTGCTTCCAACACCATACACGTATCTACACCCTGGTTAGACTAGACATTCCGTAGCCCAAACCACAAGCGCATGCACGAGAAAAAAGCCTGTACCTGAGAAGTGTGAGGCAGTAGCCGTCTGGGAGACGCTACGGGGAATTTACCACCCGAGGCCTATGAGCATGGCGAAATGTACCAAGAAATAATATCAAGAGTCACACACTCGGAAGCAGAGGTCGTTATACTATGCTTACAAGGCTCAAACAGATCTATACTTAAGTGGTAGGAAATTCAAAGAAAAATAACTATCGCTTTACTTTGTAAAGCATGTACCCCTTCCCCCCAAACAAAATAAAATATTTTTTAAAAAAAAGATAATCAAAAGTATAAATGTGAAATAAAATGTTCTTAACCACAGAAAAGGAAAGGGGGCTTAATGGAACTTATTTATTAATAATATTTTCGATAGATAAGATAAACATACATAATAGATGGTCAGTGAATCTAAACCGTTGTATCTTAGTGTAATAACGAGCTACAGATTCATATTGAATCTTCTGTAATATCTCAACATAGCATGGGTCACATCATTAACAAGAGGTATTATTTTGAGGATTTTAGAACACAGTGTTTGTGTTAGGAGAGAGAGGGGAGGTATTAAAAGGAATGAGGATTTACTGATTGTCATAATATATATACAAAGATGAGGCAGGAGATGAGAACGGAACTGATATTGTTTCTATGTATTAAAGGAAGAAAAAAACATCTTTGTTGCTAGAATTTACTACAGACCACTTTCACTATGCAAGCAGCACACTCAGTCTGGGAGTGAGAGGCTGAACAGTACGCTCAAGTGAGCAAACTCGAGAATACTTGTGGAGTTTGGGAAGATTTCTGCAACTTTCCTTCAACAATTAACATCATACCCGAGTGAGTAATCTCGAGAATACTTGTAGAGTTTGAGAGGATTGCTTTAACTTTCCATGAACTAATGACATTATACCCCAGTGAACAATCTAAAAATTACTTGAGGAGTTTGGGAAGATTTCTGCAACTTTCCTCGAACTAATAACATAAACGTATCCACTACAAGGGTAAGAAGGGATCAAACAAAAGCTAAATCAGTCATGTATGTAGTTATTTTAATTCAAAACTTTGAAACAATATTTTAACATAAACCAAATGGTCTTTTTTCTTTCCCATTACTACTTATGGAAAATAATGGTAAATAGAGACCCTTAAAGTTTAAAAATTAAGTCCTACTGTTAGCATCATTTATATTTATCATTTTTTTTATCTGCGTTTAAATCTTACTGGGTCACAATGACACTGAATGAAAATCAATAATGAAGTGCCAGCAACTTGTTCATATATTAAGTTAGTCAAAGTACATACAATAATCTAGACTAAACTTGACTCTGTTCATCTGGTCAGCTCCATCAAAAACTAAGAGAGCCATGACAGAATTGCCAACATGCTGCCTGCAGAGGCTAGAGACTTCTGAGAGCCTATAAAGCACTGATATGTTTCAACACTAAAGAAAAAAATTGACGGTATACACAGAACATAGTTGAGATGATCTCACCTTTTTCTTTTTCTTGTGGCTGTCATCTTCTTCCTCCTCCTTTTCAGATCCATGTCCTTCATCCCAATCGGAGCCTACAAAACCCAGTTACAGAAATAAAGATGTTAGTCATCATAACATGGTCATGCCAACATCTCTAAATGTTACACCACATTATCCCCCTATATTTCTCTTTCAACTGGAATGATGACAATTTTTTTTCTTACTTGCAGAGGGTATATGTAAATGTCCATTGAAATGGTGTAAGTAAAAAAATAATACCCCAGGTAAAAACTTAGAGCGTCTAAATCTGAAAATGAGAGGAAATCTCTAAACATACTATTACAAGAAGTTTCTTCTCATATCCAGAACTATGCTCAGCATTTAAATCACACAGAGCAATGCAAGCCCCAGAAGATAACAAAAGTAAGTATCTTTTAATGTTGGTGTTTTGAGCCCCCATCAACACAGTTAAGACTATTTTTTGAGGCAGGCTTAAACCCTGACTGTCAGGGCCAATCCTAGCTGACAGGAATAGTTAAAAAGACTTAAGGTTATCAATAAAAAAATCTTCCAGCATGAGGACTGAACTCAGGTCTTCTGCATGCCTAGGCTAGGCCTCTAACCATTACACCACAGATGCCCGAGTAAACATCTGTCAATTCCTCAAATCTCTAGCACAAGCGCTCACAACAAGCTTCTAGTGAATGTTCTCTTCCGTCCTTCTTACAGCTATGAGAATGACAATCCTTGTCTGCCTTTTGGGAAGATGTGGCTCTTATTGTGCAAACTTAAGGAAAACAAAGATTTAAAAACTGAAATTTAGACATAATACGTCAATGGTCTCAGGCACACGCCATCTAAGTCTGGAATATACTTCCCTTTTTTTTTTACAGAAGAAAGAAAATGATTTGCTCGAAACTGGCAGCATACCACTGATGCCTGATTACAGGACTCTTTGGGACATTTATATTGGAATATATGTGTAAATAGACATGATGTAAAACAGGGTTTCCTTGCTATCTAAAGTATAAAAGCATAAGAGGAAAATTCAGATTTAGATGGATTGTATCTGAAGCAAGGGATATGGACGGAAATGGATATATACAGAAAAGTGGGAAGACACGGAGTGACATCAAGCGATTAGCCCAGGATAGGGAAAGGTGGAAAGTGTTTGTTTGTGGTCTATATCCTGATCCAGGTCGAGAAAGACAATGATGATGATGAAGTGATATGGAAGCATGAGTTACCAAGTTTTGGTGCAAGAGGCTTGAGGAGAGCGACTCCATTCTGCTTCTGCTGTAGGTGGGGGGCTGCTTTCAGCGGCGGCATCGTGGCGGAGAGGATCGACTGCTCCGTCTGTCGATGTAGGGCCGGCAGCGTCTGGTTCATGGAGGAGTTAGACCGCTGGAGACAAAAAGCAGCACATAATAATAATAATAATAATAATAATAATAATAATAATAATAATAATAATAATAAACAGCATTCATATATTCCAAATTCCCGCACTACAGCAAGATTAATGCCATTTACAATCTATATTGTTACCACAGCAGCTCTGATACTGAAAGCATTCTGAGACAATCTCAACTTCCTGGGGAGTAAACAGTGCCAGCTGCTACTTTACAGGCACTAAAACACTTAAATACTGACAAGATCTTTTGTGATCTATGGCTGGGTAACCTAGGTGAAGTGAGGAAAATTCGTGTGAAGTGTCTTTCTCAAGGACACAATGTCGGGCCTGAGCCTCAAAACTCTGAACTTTCAACTTCACAATCACGAGACCTGTGACTTTATTACAAGACTACAGATGCCACATTTAAAGCAGAATAAAAAATTGATAGTGGTCTTTTTTTCTTTTCATCTTAATGAATAAACATAAGATTCAACTTTCCATAAATTTCAGTAGAATGAGACATTTGATTAAAAAAACCAGCTAAACCTTTATACACTATAACACTGATAGGTTGAACACAGAAGACTCGAAATCACGCATCTGTCAAACTGAGCCTGCGATTCTGTTTTTTTTTTTTTTTTTTCTTCTCTTCTTTATCTTTGTAAGATGTCTCTCGAACTATGGATCCCTTGAACTACCGATGCCGGTCCTGACAAATTCGAGCTATCCGTGTTATACTGTATATGAGCTGAAAAGCTTTGTTTGGTATTGGGAAGACTAAGAATATGTAGAAATTTGTCCAACAGTATGCCTACAACAAGTGATAATAATGCTACAATGGTAAATTATGAGAAAACGTCAGTGGAGCACCTGTACTTCATTTCTCCGCCTCTCTCTGGCAGATAAGGTTCGAGACAAGGATGGGGAATCTCCATTGGCTATCGTCACTGATGCCTGCTTCAGCTCAGCTGTCTTCATTTCGTCCACCTCTCCGTCACTCTCAACCTCACCATTCTGTGTCTTGGGTCGTGCCGTTACGATCATGTGACAACCCCCACAAGCAGCCTGATAGACAAAGATATTTTTAAAAAGCTTTTTACAGCAACAACAACATAAAAAACCAAAGAATTCTTAGCTTTATTAAAAAACGGTTCAAACATAAGTAAAAACTTATCTTCAGTCTTCTATTTAAAAAATCTCTCAAGTTTTACCCCATATTAACTCAAATATTTGTGGTTTCCATATGTTCAAAACAGAAATTTCTTAAAATGAGCAGTTCATTTCAGTTGTCATCTAATTTTGTGTTCTTCAACACAAGAATTACTATTACATATTTTATTTATATACATCTAATGTTAATGACCTACTGGACAGGTAATTTTCAAAGCAAAAGCATCTGGCCAAGAGGAGAAAGTAAAGAAGAAGGAAAGAAGAATGAGAAAATGAAAAAGCAACACTCCAAAGTCATAGCTGCCACTCAGAAATTTACAAAAAGGAGGAAATTCACGCGAAGGCGTACGCGCGCTCTCCGAAACCAGTGAGATCCAGAGGCAATATATACTGGAAAATCTAGCCTATGGTTTTGGAAGGGAAAACTGTCATATTGTTAACCATAGGCAACTGAATTAAAATGTATTTGAAAAAAACAACAACAAACAAACAAACATAAAGGCCGTAAGTTGACTAACAAGCATTCGAGTCAATTTGACAGTTTGGACTTGGTGACTAAAAATCCAGTGTTTTTTTGCCAGCTGGTGTCTTATAAAAAGATTTCTTTCTCTTTAAACTTGTACATACATAGACGTAGAGCAGTATCGGATCAAGGATACACAGGCACTCCTGTACAATGGTGATCCCGTTTGCACTTAGTGCCCCTGTAGTGTGTTTCTTATTTAGAGATAAACTGAATTAAAATTATAGCCTAGGCTATCTAATCTAGATCTAGATATATCTAAATATGTGTAGATCTAGATTATATCTAGATCTAGAGACAGATTTTCTAGATCTAGATCTAGATTCACTTCCGCAGCAGCCCCAATAGCCGTCATGTAAACAAACGGGACCGCAATTGTAATTGTACAGGAGTGCCGCGGGCCGCGATTTCTTTTGCAAAAAAACGGCTAGATCTAGATCTAGATCTAGTTCAATTTTCTAATGAACTTTTCAAGTCGCACACCGGCTGCTTCTTTCTCATTCCAGCTCCTTTTATTTTTGCATTCTGAATCAATTTCTCTCGAATTTCCGCCAATTTCAATGACAACTCGGCGCGCTAACGTCCCGATGCCCGATCGACACTGTGTTGCTCCACAACAATAAACAATGTGAAACTAGCGCTGGGCCTAGAAGAACGGAAGTAGAAAGCTACGGGCGGACATGCGCAAACCGCGTTTTCGTCTCTCTCCCGGGTCGGTGTTTTCCGCGGGGGAAAAAAAGTATGAAATTTGCGACCAAGAGCGGTCCAGCGGAGGAAGGAGGAAAGTTGCGGGAAAAGCTAGATGTAGCGGAGTTTCCGCTATTTAGCGGGAAAGTGGCAGCTATGAAAGTAAATGTCACAAATAGGCCAACTTCTTGGTAAAGATGTTCGTGAGTGAAGCAACAACATCAAGGGTTATGTCTCCTGCTGAGATGCAGTAATTCATCAACCCCCTTCACCCACTAGGGGAAAAACAGGAAAATTATTAGCACTTCAAATAAAACAATGCAGTGCTCAAGTCCACCATATCATTTGAAATGTCCATTTTATCAATTAAAGATCTAATCAATTACTTTGAGTAAGACATGGACAAATCCTAGAAAAAAACATACTTAATATGGGCCTTTAGACTATTTGGTAAGATTATTCATATTCACTCTACCTTATCAACATGAAACTGTGCAAATCGTTGACAATGGAAAGGTTTGAACTGGTTTGAGAACTGGTCGCTCCCGTGAGCCAGCTTGCCGTGTCTCCCATCACCAAATGTGTAGAGTTGACCTTTCTCTGTGGTCGGGAAAGAGCAAAAAAGCTTGCTTTATTAAGTGAATTGGTGACAGGTACGGAGTCTTTAAAAAAAAAAGTAAAGCATAATCTTTGTCATGATAAAAAACCAGCACAGCAGTAATTATGCTGTACTGGGAGAGATGCAAACAAGAAATAAAATAGCTCGCAGCTTACAGTAAGGCTTTTAAAATCAGGACAAAGACTAACTTAGCATCAGCACAAAAATCAGATACAAGGATATTTGACAGTAAAGTTGATGTATATAGAATCACAACAATTTTATTTGAAATCAATAGTAAAAAGTCTGATAAAATGCCTTTTTTTCTCGAAACTACTATGTATTAAAAACTGGTCTTTTGTCAGCCAACAACAGAGCTGTTGTCAGTACCTGAGATAAGAGCCGTGAAGGATTCTCCACAGAAGACTCTGGACACTTTGAATGGCAGAGAGAGGAGAGTTGGGGATGTGGCCAACAGTATGCCCGTACCTAGACCTAGCTGACCACTCTCTCCATCTCCAAAAACATACACATTGCCTGGTTCTGAAAATGCACGAGATGGACATATGAGATAATGAGTCGGGTGAAGATGTGTTGAATTAATAACAAAAAAACAGTAATGCATTCTCTAAAAGTGACAGCATTAAAAAAATTAGTTCCTGTTTTATCACATGTTAAACAGCATGAACATTAGCGTAGGGAGAAATTTAAAAAGCTTTAAATAAAAGACTAAAACAAAACAACAACAAAATCCTATTTTAAAAAAACCCTCCACATCTGGAGTAGTATTATATCAAAAGTAGCCAACGTACAGCGAAATACTCCATCTATTTTGTGGGGATACTGTATTCCACTCAGCCCAGGTTAGTCCTGACATGCAGGGTTGAAGCAATATACCGTCTAAATTATCTAAATTGTGTCAATGGGGATGTAAAAACACTTACAATTACAGTTCTCCTCTTCAGAACTCACCTGTGAGAGCAACAGTGTGGGCACTGCCACAGGCCACCCATTTGACCGGCTCTGGGATTCCCGTGACTTCACGGGGGACGTTGGTGGTCGTGATATCCTCTGGGAGACCCAGCTTGCCGGACTCCGATTCTCCCATTGTGAACAGTTTCCCATCATCTGAAGAGACACAAAGTCAGACAAGAACTTCAGAGACAAAATCAGACTGAACTAGAAAAAATGTAACTCTGACTTGGAACATCTTCATGAAGAAAAAGTTATATGTAACAGCTCAATAATGTGAGACATCCAAGAGAACTCCTATTAACAAATTGTTGAACTGACTGCTTGTTATCATCTTTTAACCTAAATAAATCAGTTAATAAAAACAGCCATTCACCTGTGACTTTTGCAGTATGACACTACCTACCGGCCACATAAACCACCATCTACCCATATAGAAGCTGTCCTACTGACACTGCTTGACATTACCAATCTACCTGAGTTCATTAATTACAGTCAAACCTGTCCAAAATAATCACCCACTGTTGAGCAGAAAAGTGGTCATCTAGAACAGGCGGTCCTCTTGGACAGTGTCATTATAAAACAGAAAAAAATACAAAAGGGGAGAGGGGGGAGGAGAGGGGGAAGTAGGAAGTGGTCATTTGTACAGATGTTTTTCTTGACATAGGTAGTTGTTAGTGCAGGTTTGACTGTAATTCACCCTTGTATTCAACTCTTTATCTCCGAGGGGGGTAAACCCAGTAAGCCGGGGCCCTATTTTAGTTCAAAGTTTAAAATTGACATTTACATCACTAATTTGGTCCTCAAATCAAAACTAGTAAACTATTTCGATAGTCCTTCACCTAATGAATGAAATTCCGGTGAAAGAGACTTGTTTTTGGCCATTGCTGAAAAGTAATTTGATGTTGAAGTTGTCGTAAAGGAATGCGCCTGAGCCGCTGCGGCTCACTGGCACAGGGGTCCCGACCTCGAGTCGCTAGGAGCGGCTTGCCGGAGATAAGGAATTAGGATAAAATATAAAAACATCCACTCACCAGTGACGACCGCTGTATGATAGTAGCCACAGGCCACACAGACCACAGGCCTGTCCATCAACAAAGGCACAGGCTCTGCCACAGCCTCCTCCTCCTCCATGCCCAGCTCTCCGTCCTCATTCCTCCCCCACACAAACACACGTCCGTCCTCTGTAGGACAAACGACAGCAATATGAAATAGGTTTGTTTGAGGAAAGAGAAGCACCATCCACATGAGAATAGTGATTTAGTTTAGTTTTAGTAAAAGTTATGCTGCAACACAAATAGGTCAAATGAGTGCTGAAGATTGGAGGTGATACAAGAAAATAATATACAAAGAAAAGAAGGAAGAGAGATAAGGACAACAGAGCACTCGCTAAATTCCTGTAAGGTCATCTAATGAAAGAAGTAAGACAGACAGACAGAAGCCACAGAGGAAAAGTAACGAAATCATACATAGCTGTTAACTTTTCAAAACCAAAACAGACTCTTCCTCCGAGGCACATCAAGATGAAGGGCATTGGAATAATAACCTCCCTCAGTACCCTTCCAACACACTTTCCTGTATTCAGTAAATTCAAAGCTTACAAGCTACAATAATGTGAGAAATATTTGTTAGAGATCTCCAATTTTGTACAGGCATAACTCTTATTTATTTTACTCATCAAATAATTCAGTTTCAAAATGTCATACATAACTAAAAAACAGTCTCGAGTAGACAATCTATAACTTTTTACCACAACCTACAACCATACTACCACACAACAGCCACTTGTTGGAAAGCAAAGTTACATCATTTTAGCTTAGGTAATAGCATCTTGTTAAACACTTACATACCGAAGGCTCACATAGTGAAAAACCCTTAAGTACCGCAGAAGCCACGGTAGAATTTTTAAAATAAAAAAACCCATTGATTTACAAAGTTTCATCAACCACTGCTATCAAATAGAGTAACTTTCTTTGTTATTAACTTCAGTACCATGGCTCCGTTCGTTGTTTAAATATGTCTAGTGTGCCCGGTCAAGTTGGCGACTATAAAAGTCGCAAAGGTCGCCAGCAGTAAAGAGCACATACTACTGCAGCCTGGCAACTAAAGTCGCTGGCGGTACTAAAAATGTTGAATGAACACCCCCACAACCATCCATCTAATGGAACACCTTTCATACCAGAGAGAGCCACTGAATTTCCGGAGCCAGCTGCCAGCATCCTGAACTCCATTGGATCCAAACTTTCGACGCATCGTGGTGTGAACAGGTCTGAAACATCCTTGATACCCAACTGGGAGTCGGAGTTACTACCAAATGAATAAATGCGACCAGATTCTGAAATAAATTCCAATGCACGAGAGAAAAAAATGTTAGAGTCAGGTTTGGTTAAGACAAACCCTGCTGAATGAAATAAAATGTAGAAAAATACAATACTTTGGTCGCTTAAAATGGCATGAGACCATTGTGAAAGAGATGCTTGAAGGAAGGATATGGGGCAGGAGAGCCAGGGGAAGACAAAGAGTAACATGGATGGACAACATGAAAACATGGCCTGGCCTGGATATAGCAGAATGTGAAACGGCAGCTTGCAACTATGAAGGATGGAGGGTCATTACATGTCAACATATGAGTAAGATATGACACCTCTAGCAATCTAGGTTCTGTTTAGTGTTGAATATATAATGTTATAGCATAGCAAACAAAACTGACAGAATGTTATTGTTCTTATTTGTCCTTCTCTCTAAATACATATCGATTGCTCAGTGAAAGCCTCCATCATACGTCACTTTTCAAAATGTGTGTGGTGGCCTGGGAAAACCAGGCGGAAGACGCAAATCCCCAAGCCTAGCTACAGCTCCATAAACACAAAATATTGATTTTTTATCGAATTTGAGATTATAGCCAAATCTTTTTATTTATCCATTTTTCTAACTAAAAATTGTAATGCTAATGCCTAAAACAGTTGGAAAATCTGTTTTTGAAGACAATATCTAAGGTACCCTATGACGCTCGCAATCGGAAAAATCATCGAAAATTGCCTTTGAAGAACGAAAAATTGACAAATTTCAGCCGGCTGTGGAAGGTTTCCGTCTAAAAATAGACCCCGTATATTTGGTATGGTTTTAAAGCTTGTTTTCTCTACTTCTACTTTCCAACACTGAAGAGTGCGCAGAAGTAATATATACGGGTATTTAGTGCGCATCCAATCAGCGAGCACGGTACAAAATTCAGTCTTCCGTTTTCTTTGTCCTACTTGCGCGAGGGAAGCTACAGCCTCACAAGTCACGCAGTTCGTCATTTTCGCTTCGGGCATACAGCTGAATCTGTTCCCTATCGACATTTTATTGTTTGGACTTCATTGGCATTGTTTTGAAAAGAAATTCAAGATATTCCGTCGACCACTACAAGTCGAGACGAGTGATCATGGCGACGTCAAGCGAGGAAATCGCCAAGCTACTGAACAGCTGTTCGCGGACCGTTGTTGACAATGTTGGTAACGACTCCATTCAGGATTTTCTTGATGATTATTTCGGCTCAAGAAGCGACGCTGATTCTGATTCAGATTCTACAGAGTC